ATTTTATTATAATAAATTAAAAACATAGTCCAATTTTTTACAGCCCGTTCACTTTGAGCTCGCGGCTCAACTAAGTACTCGGTTCGTTAACATAGAAAAAGACGAATTCAAGAACCGCCTATCGATCGTGCTGCCCCTGGTCAACAGCAAGATGCTCCTACTCAGCAACGATATAGCGGAGGGGCGCTTCGTCAAAATAAAACTCGACCAATCCGAAGACAAAACCGACGAAGAAAAACAACTAGAAAAGGACCACAGCCTCATACAGATCCTCAACTTAATCGAGAACATCACTGTACATTGCGAGTCGAGTATGAAGAACGAGAGATATTTAAACGAATACGACGAGATAGGCCAGCAATGTAAAGCGTTTCTGGCCTACCCGCACGCTTGGGTCAGGTTGAAGGCCGCGAAAATAATTGGGCGAGTTCTGTTAACGGTCGATGTCAAGGAATTGGACGATATTGCTTCGAATAAGAAGGAAACTGATAGGGGCTTTATTTATTACGACGTCGAGGAGACTTTAAGAAGTTTGGTCTTGGATCTATGCGCGCAGTACACGACCACCATACAGAGAGACATGGCGGAACAGGTGAGCTGATCAATTTTTTTTTTTTTTTTTTTAATTCATCTGTAGGCAGACGAGCATAAACCCACCTAATGGTGAATGGTTACCGTCGCTCATGGACCTCAGCAATGCCAGGGGCTCAGCCAAGCTGCTGCCTACCATTGAAGACCGATTTAAGACGTGATGGAATTCGTGGCCTAAAGGGCCTAAAGGATAAGTCATAGGTATACTACTCCTTTGAACGGTGGCCGATAAGAGTTGGACGATGAGAGCCAAAGACTGAGGTCAGTGGTGTGGATTGGGAGAGACCTGTGTCTGCTGGACGACTGTGGGCTGATGATGACGATGATGTACTCGCATCGAGCGGTGCGACTCTGCCAGTGTATAAAACCCAGATGAAATATGTACTTATCAAATGTTTACGATTGACTTCCACGGTGAAGGAATAACATCGCGTAATAAATATCAAACCCGTAAAATTATAATTTGCATAATTACTGGTGGTCGGACCTCTGGTGAGTCCGCGCGGGTGGGTACCACCACCCTGCCTATTTCTGCCGTGAAACAGTAATGCGTTTCGGTTTGAAGTGTAAAGCAGCCGTTGTAACTATACTTGAGACCTTAGAACTTATATGTCAATGTGGCTGGCGCATTTGCGTTGTGGATGTCTCTGTGGAGCTCGTCCACCCATCTAAGCAATAAAAAAAAAAGTATTTTTTATTCCTTTGACGGGTAGTGCTCACGGCCAACCTGGTGTTAAGTGGTTAGCGAAGCCCATAGACATCTACAACGTAAATGCTAACACCCACCTTGAGATATAAGTTCTAAGGTCGCAAACGCAAAAAAGTTCAAACCGAAACGCATTACCGCTTTACAGTAGAAATAGGCAGGGCGGTGGTAGCTACCCGTGCGGACTCACAAGACGTCCTACCACAAGTAATTAGCAAATCATTTTTGATTACAGGTAACCGCCGTGCTGTTCCAAATAATAAAAATAGTTCAGTCGACGTCGTGTTTCAAATTAGCGAATAGTATAGAGGGAGAGAGCGAACGAACTGAAGGCGGCGGTAAATTGGACACGCGTTGGATCCTGTTCAAGCTGAGGAAGGCCGTGAACGTGGAGGTCGCCCGAGCACCGACCTGCATCAATATAGTAAGTGTTCGACGCAAACTAATTAAGAAATAATAAAAAAAATTGGACAACTTCACACGTCATACGTCATAACTAAATGCAATAATAATTTTTTTAATCTATACTAATATATAAATCTACAGTGGTTTTTACGGATGTTCCGTTATAACTATTGAACCGTGCGTCCGATTGACTTGAAACTTGGTATCCATGTAGAAAATACATGTACTTAATAGATAGGAGTGTTGGACTCCCTACACCGGTTGCGGGGGCGTTAATGATAAGAATCTTTGTGGGGGTGAGAAATAATAATGTTAATTTTAAACGCCCAGCGAAGCGGACGGGTACAGCTAGTTGCTTATATGGGTGGACGAGCTCACTACCCACCTGGTGTTGTGGTTACTGGAGCCCATAGACATCTACGACGTAAATGCGCCACCCACCTTGAGATATAAGTTCTAAGGTCTCAAGTATAGTTACAACGGCTGCTTTTCACTTTAAACCGAAACGCATTTCTGCTTCACGGCAAAAATAGGCAGGGTGGTGGTACCTACCCGCGCGGACCCACAATACGTCCTACTGCATCGCTTTGAGCTCGTCCATACATCTGAGTCATAAAAAAAATGTCTTAATTGACAGAGATCGTCGATATTCTCGATGTGGATCCGCATGGTGGGCGGTCTGGAGGCGGATGACGTCACGGGCGTACTAGACGTGCTGTTGCCGCCGCTAGTTCGCGAGCTGTCCACCGGCGACGCGGCGGCGCCAGCGTCGATACCCAAACAACTCGCCCGACGACTCGCCAGGAAGATCAGAAGGAAAATAGGAGAGATTGAGTACAGCAAGCTAGCAGCCGAGGCGCAGACTAGGCTCAACATTAAAAGGGCCGAAAGGAAAAAGGTATGATTCCTTAATAAATATTTTTGGTACATGCGTAAACATAACCTTAACAAAAACACGCGTGACACTCGGGCACTGCCGCGGTAAAGCTATTGCATAGCATTTTTTATCAACTTATGAAATTATAATTAAACAATAATAATTTAATACTAAAACAATAATAAAATAAGACCACGCTATGTTTATAAACATTAACAAAAGAAAAACATTAACAAAATAAAAACATTAACAAAAGCAAAACATTAACTGTCCCCTTCACACTCATAAGCTAGACCGCGCGCGAGAGAGATGGGCAGACTTTTCATGATGCGCATGCAGTACGACGTCACGCTGCGCGCTTATTCACAAACACTACACAAGCGCAACGTGTGAATGTGTTGAACGCGAGCTACATGGTAGGCGGAGTGGGGGTGTTAGGTTTTATTTTCGTTACGGAATTTCTTGATTCGGTCTCCGCGCTCAAAGCCCGCGATAAAAGCTATGCAATAGCTTAAAAAGTACTGCATCTACAATTAGTTCACCTTCACGTAATGATGAAGGTAATACGAAATGCTCTTTTTGTGCGAGTATAAAATTAGAAATGTACTGTTGCGTGAATCTTGATTATTTTTTATGTTTTAATTTCGAATGCTTACAGTTTGGGAATCAACGACCCCAAAATAAGAATTCTCAACTGTACAACAAGGTAGTATGAGATCAAAAAACAAATGTCAAATGATATCGAACGTAATTGAGGTTCGAATGTGAATCTCAGAATGTAATAATTAGGTTTATTGACGTTTATGATAGCGAAGCGATATTTGCCACACTGTAAAAATGACTTTCTCAAACCATGCTTTTGTAGAATTCGGGGAGAAAGCGCATCTTTAAAAAAAAATTGTTTAAAAAACCAAAAAACACGCTTTATATAAAATTCAACTAAAAAATAGAAAATAAATTTTAATAAATTGAAATTGAAAATAGTGTAAAAAAAATATCTTGTTGTAAAACAAGCGTGGGGTGCTTTTTAAGATATTATTGAAATAATAATTCTTCTACTCATATCTGTCAGAAAAATATTTATAACTAATAACACCATGCAGCCCTCGCTTTTTTACAATAAAATATATATTTTTACACTATTTTCAATTTAAATTTATTAAAATTTATTTTCTATTTTTTAGTTGAATTTTATATAAAGCGTGTTTTTTAGTTTTTTTAAACTATTATTTATTTTTAATTTTTTAGTTAATTTTTTTTTGCTAATTGAATAATAGAATAATCTTATCAAATTAGTGTATTGTCATCGGTCCTCGATAAATCTACAAAGTTTGAATGAAATCTGGCCGTTAAAGTGGGTCAAAATCGCGTCTAAAGGAGCCAGTTACAAGCATACATACAAGTGAAGCTAATATAAATCGTGTAAAAATCTTAATGTTTCACAGTTATTACTACAAGAAAAAGTCAAAGATCCAGAGAGGGCGGCCAAAAGGAAAGTTCACGTGAAGGAAAAGAAGAAACAAGCGAAAAAGATAAAGTTAGACATGGTCCACGGAAAGAGACCGCGCCCTAAGAAACGGAAAGCGGAAGATTTTGATCTAGAAGACGAGTTACTGAAAGATGAAGGATAGAAATGTTACTGTGCTATGTTCTTTTATGTTTAAGGGATTCGAATCATGTAAATATTAGTTGAATTTTCAAACAATAAAATAAACTTTTAAACAAATATTGATGTTTGGTATTATTTTAAAGTAGTAAAACCTAACTACGATTCTTTATAAGAATCACTTATGTCAATTGTACACTATATTGATATACAAAAATATGAGCCATCGCAGGAAGGCTGGTAGATGTGAAACATAGATATTATTTTGTACAGGTATAGATGTAAAATAAGGGTAGTTTACGACAGGAAAATCATGTGGCATAATGAAAAATTTAATTTAAATAATAATAATAAAACTAAATTAAATTTATTAAAATAAAATTAAAAAAAATCGTCGTGGCCTAAGATATAAGACGTCCGGTGCATTTGTGTGTAGCGATGCACCGGTGTTCGAATCCCGCAGGCGGGTACCAATTTTTCTAATGAAATACGTACTTAACTAATGTTCACGATTGACTTCCACGGTGAAGGAATAACATCGTGTAATAAAAATCAAACCCGCAAAATGATAATTTGCGTAATTGCTGGTGGTAGGACCTCTTGTGAGTCCGCGCGGGTAGGTACCACCGCCCTGCCTATTTGTGCCGTGAAGCAGTAATTCGTTTCGGTTTGAAGGGTGGGGCAGCCGTTGTAACTATACTTGAGTGTGCCTCGTGCTCTCGTGTCGTACCGCTTTGTCGAAATGGCGCCATATCTACAACTTAAAAACGAACTTTTAAGGACTAATCTACGCTTAGACCAAAATAAAACGCACATTTAGAGAAAAATAATATGATTTAATGCAGCAATTAAGTATAAAAGGTTAACAAAATGTACATTCACTTGAATTCAAATACTAAATATTTACAATCATAAATTAATGACGTTAGAGTCGTTTACAAAACGCTTAAAATATAATATACAAATTAATTAAAAGTAATAGGAAAATGGTAACTTCGATATTTCGATGTTGTTGCTAACACACTTTTATTTAGAAATGTCTATATTGATAATCTGCCTAATAACTATTTTTAGATCAAAAATTATTTTATAGTTTAATTGGAATATATCTAGCTAAAGCACAACCAATAAAATGTATCTCTAAATTATTACAACTGCAGCACTATAACGAAATGTTGCCAGCTTCTGGATTCATATGATTAAAAATAATGCACAAATTACACATGCTGGCATTTTAAAACGAATGCTTTATTATTGCTTTATATTGTCACTAATATAATTAATGTTTTCAAACTATATTACTTTTTAAATAAAATTATTTTCTATTTTCTATGTCAAATTTGTATAGACATTTTGATTATTATCTTATACAGGACAATGAGTTCATTGTTTTCGTCTGTTGGTTTATCCTGTCAGACAATAATAAAACGAGAAATATATGTATTCGTTGCTTACATTATTTTGTTAACATTATTTTGCCTAACGTTACAATTTAACATCAACATTCCAGTGAATTACCTTAAATATTTGTTTAGTTACAGCACCACATACTTTAAAAGATGTCTTAAAGCGAATTACACAATATTTTTTAAAGCAGAACTGCGATCAAAATATACAAACATTCTCAGAATTTTAATTATTAAATTGTGCATAAATATAAAAAAGAAAACTTCAAAAGTGCCCCTTAAATTCAACAATTACACTACCTGATTGTATTTACAATTGAGTTTTGTGCAAAAATTATACATATAACGATTTGGTATTGTTCAACTCCGTTTTGACGTCTCCATGATTTTAGTATTCTCAAATTCCCGAACCATGAAATAAATGAAGCGGAAATTGAAAAATATTTACGTAACAGCTCGACAACTACGTAACTCTCAAAACTTTAGCTTTTCGAGTAGCAGATGACGCGAGTTTAGTCCTGATCCAAAGAGGCAAAACTATTTCGATTAGCAAGTTTTAAGAGCCTGACTAATGCGACTGAGGCAACTGGAAACTTCTATTTTAATTTCTATAATTGCGACTTCAACATTTTTTATTTATGTAGATTTAAAAAAAATTACAATCTTATTGTAGAAAAATTTTGTAGTAATAAATTTGGTAATTTATTTTTGGTACTTTATCGTAACAACGGCTTTACCTTGTTATTTCATAGATTTTATTTAGAACCGAATCGAACAGCTAAATAAAATCGATAATTTGTTAAGCATCATTATTAACATTTTAATTAAGTATTTTACATTCGAATATTAATGCCTATTATGTTTTTGAAACAACTTCTGCCTTCTATCTTGATTTTCATAAAATTTTAAATATATATATTTTTTAATTACATAGTAACATCGTATATGGTTGTATAGAATAGAATAGTAGGTAAAGATATAGAACAGGTGATGGACGGTGGAAAGCTCTGCGATTGAATAAAGCTTCATCAAATTTCAAAGCGTGAAAACTTCAATAGAATTTTTACAAAAATAATTTGCTAAAATAATATTTCAAAGAGTTCCATAATTTTGTTGGATACCTCATCAGTTTTCGATTCATTGGCTTATTAACAGTTTTTCCTATATCTTTAAGATACATTCGTTTTCTATCTCATCAAAAATAGCTTGATATAAACTTAGAGTTTCTTGAATGCTGATCAAGACCTTGCTGAAATTTACATACCTTTTAATCGTAAAGCATTGCCGTTACGAAATAGAAATCCAAGTTTCTAAAGTAAAAATGTGACCAGCAGCTTTGGGAATTACAGTGAAGTTAGGTATATGTAATGGAACACCGTCTAAATAATTGCGTAGAAATAGAGTAGTAACCTGTTTTTAATTAATTATATTAGTACTAATTATGATTGTGTGAGTGCGTTCGTCTAAGCTTTAAGGCGGACTATTTAGATTGTAAGGTAACAACAAGCTGGCAAGAATGTTCCAATTGCAACTTAAATATGTACTAAAATTTATAAGTGTCGGCTGACAAAAGTGACCAATCTGATGTTTACATCATATTTCAAGTCGCGTTCACGAATTGGGATGTAATTAAAATTGATTTGAAAAAAAAAATATTAATACGTAAATTAATAAATATTTGAGTTTAATTTTTGACAAGAATATTCCTTCGAAACAAAATAAAAATCAAAATTGGAATTTGGGACATTTTTATAGAAAGAGTAACGTATCATTGCGCTACCAGATGTGGAAACGGTTGTGACAAGCAATACTTTGTGTAATATTGACGAGTTGATATAACTAAAGAACAACAGTCTGATTACAACAGCATAGTCGATATGGGATTGTATCTCATTATTTTCGATAGCAATATCCACAGTAGTGAAGTTGTTTAATTGATTTGAAAAAATATATATTAATACGTAAATTAATAAAAAATTGAGTTTAATCTTTGACAAGAATGTTCCTTCGAAATAAAAATAAAAAACCAAATTTGGAACATTCTTATAGAAAGAGTATCATTGCGCTACCAGATGTGGAAACGGCTGTGACAATTGACGACCGAAGCGACAAGCAATTCTTTGTGTAATATGACGAGTTGATATAACTACAGAGGAACAGTCTAATTACAACAGCATAGTCGATATGGGATTGTATCTCATTATTTTCGATAGTAATATCCACAGGAGTGAAGTTGTAGTCGCTAGTACAACTCCCCCCCAGCCGAGTTCGAGGGACCACGACGTGGAGAATTCTCTTGCGGAAAGGAGTGGAATGACTGTAGTCTTCGGACCGACTACTCCGTCTCCCGTGTCGTCTCCATGAGAACTACCACGGGACGAGACCCGCTGGACGCGTTTGAAGTGGATTATCATTAATGTAAACATTGCAAAGAGACCTGTAAAAAAATTAGCGATTAATAACGATTGATTAATTGTTAAGCATTGTAATTTTAACTTAATTTCGACTATTTTAATGATTATAAGTTCACAGAAATCGTATTGCTTGTCATAGTGCAGATACATCTATACTAATATATAAAACTACAGTGGTTTTTACGGATATTCCGTTATAGCTACTGAACCATGCATCCGATTGACTTGAAACTTGGTATCCATGTAGAAAATACATGTACTTAATGGATAGGCTAATATTTATATGAGTGTTGGACTCCCTACACCAGTTGCGAGGGCGTTAATGATGAGAATCATTGTGGGCATTGTGGGGGTGAAAAATAACAATGTTAATTTTAAATTCCCAGCGAAGCGGACGGGTACAGTTACGAAGTTGTTTATAAATATAATTAGTAATTTATTTATAATATGCTTTCCTATATTGGAAGTTAAACTAGTCTTTTAATTTTCTTTACTATCAAGATAACTTATCTATCATTAAGAGTTTAAGGAATGTTATAGTTTTAATCGTACCGCTGATCCTTGTGATAATCAATACAGTTAATTGGTTAAGCTTTCGTTTGATAATGAAAAATGTGTCATAAAAAACTTTAAGCTTTAAAATTATAATTGAATTCGATAGCAAGATAACACGACATCTTAAGGCAGCAAAATTACTTGAATCCCGAACGTCTCTAATGGAGTTCAATTAATAAGTGACTGAATTTACGACATATAAATTACACAATTTCCATATTTGCCTACCGATACTGTCATAATTTTTCAAAACCATTTCAGTACAGTTAATCAACATCGCCACAAATTTGATAGCACGCAGCGTAATGCTAGTTGTATGCAGACAACCAGTGCTGGTAAAGCAGTCACACGATCTAGGTAGAATCTAGGATGAGAGAGCTGATTTAAAAAAATAATTGGTTGTCTATAAATTCGGTTTACGGACCGTGATAACGTCAGTAGCAGAAATATTTGAACTGCTAGCTCTGACGTCACGTGAGAAGAGAGATAAATGTGTCGCAAACCAATTTTGGGGCTGATTGTACCTCTCTCGCTTGCATGCTCAGGCGGAACGTGACACTTTTTCGTGCGTGCGCTGTTCATCGATTTATAACGTCAATTGAGATGAGAGGCAGATATCTTTGATAACCACTATTTACTGGTGGTAGAACCTCTTGTGAGTCCGCACGGGTAGGTACTATACTGAGACCTTAGATCTTATATCTCAAGTTGGGTGGCGCATTTACGTTGTAGATGTCTATGGGCTCCAGCAACCACTTAACACCAGGTGGGCTATGAGCTCGTTCACCTATCCAAGCAATAAAAAAAAATCCATCCCTCAATCAACTAGGCTCCATCACGAATAACCAGACAGAGCTCTGGTACCCCTCATTGGAGCAACACTATCTTCCGCTCACGACATATGGTACTTACCGGCCAATAAATACATAACTCCGGTTATAAGAACGGCGCTGATCTGATGCTTGCAGACTCCGAAAGCGCCCACCAGCGCCGCGCTTCCCAGCACTATCAGGCAGACCAACGCACAAGATATCGATAGATTTTGCATACCTGTAATGAAGGCCGTTCTGAATCTATTGTTGGTGTGACGTAACGGTAGGCAGCGGCTTGGCTCTGTCCCTGGCATTGCTGAGGTCCATGAGCGACGGTGACCACTTACCATCAGGTGGGCCGTATGCTCGTCTGCCTACAATGGCAATAAAAAAAAAAGAAAAAAAAACCTAACCTTTTAACGAATTCGAATCATTTCTCCCGACTTGAAGGACATGATGGCTTTATAGGTTAAAGTTTTTCTAACGTAATTGAAACTAAGTGTGTCCTGAGATGGTATCATCTAGCTATTTACGCTTGAAAATATTATATAAAACAAATGTTAGTTTTGAAAAAAAAAAGAGAAATTACGTTATATCTCTAAATACATATTTAAAACAAAAATTCGTTATGTTCACCTAAGCTCAGTGTGGATATGGAATGAGTAAGCATATTCACGTTGTAGCATGTCTTTAGGCGGGGTACACATTATACGCCCTTGTCCGGAAAGTGTTGATGCGTTTTGGAATGCACTCAGAATTTTGTTTTTTCATTTAATTTCTTTAAATGAGTGGAGTTTAATGGAAGTATAGCTTGTGGTGGGTAGGCCTTTGTAGCTTCACCAGAGCGGGTGATCGAAAATAGGGGCTTAAACAGGGGTGGAAGGTTTGTTGTTATCGAAGTAATGGTAGACATCGCAAAATGACGGAAACTAAAAGCATGGTTCGTCGATCAACATTGACTAAAAGTTAAACCAACTTATCGGCAGACGCGTTTGCAAATTGGCCATCCCTAGCTGTTATTGTTAATAGATCTTTACGTCTTTACATTTCGGATGACATTACAATAAAGTATCGATATGCTGATTTATGAGATTTCTTTACTTCGTCACAAGGAATACACGTTTACAAAATAATATCTTATCCTATCGATTTGCGCAACAATTCCTCGAAACAAGAAAAGCGTTTTCGCTATAATATGAGTCCGCGCGGATAGGTACCACCGCCCTGCCTATTTCTTCCGTGAAGCAGTAATGCGTTTCGGTTTGAAGGGTGGGGCAGCCGTTGTAACTATACTGAGACTTTAGAATTTGTATCTCAAGGTGGGTGGCGTGTCTACGTTGTAGATGTCTATGGGCTCCAGTAACCACTTAACACCAGGTGGGCTGTGAGCTCGTCGTTTAAATTATTTTAACATTAGTAAATATATATATTAAAAACAGTTGTATAGACGTGCACGTACAAACACGTAACGAGCAAACAAACCGAGAGTTCGTTATGTAAAATTATTAAAATGTTATGTTTGACTATGAATAACTGACCAATGACCTTGACCTTTCAAGTTCAATGTTCCTGTAAATGTGCGAATAAGGCGCCTTACTCTCTTTTTACTCTTAATACACACACAAGCAAGTTCACCAGTAATTACGCAAATTTTAACAGATTGCATTTTTATTTTTATTAACTACACGATGTTATTCCTTCATCGCGCATATCATTTGGAAGAATGTTTTAAGTACGTAGGTATTTCATTCAAAAAAATGTTATACCTCCATGCGGGATTTGAACACCGACACAGCCGCATCGCTTGACCCGAGTACACGGGTCGTTTTATCTTTTAGGCCACAACGACTTCTTATTAGTAAAAATCTCCAGTTCATGATTTACCTAATGTTCACACTTGTGACATATACTAATTCTATGATTGTAAATTATTTTATAAAATACACTTATTAAATGCTCTTAAGCGTATTGCGATTCTTATACGAAACGCTAAATTATACAATATTATCAAGATTAAAATATATGGTTTTGACTTGTGGTAGGACCTCTCGTGAGTCCGCACGGGTAACACCACCCTACCTATTTCAGCCGTGAAACAGTAAGGGTCGGGCAGCCGTTATAGCTATACTGAGACCTTAGAACTCATATCTCAAGGTGGGTGGCGGCATTTATAAATGTCTATGGGCTCCGGTAACCACTTTACACCAGGTGGGCTCGTCAACCTATCAAAGCAATAAAAAAAGGTCTTAACGTTCCTAGAGTTTGAATAAGTTGCATCATCATTGTCATCACCATAATAAGCTCACAGTTGTTCATTGCTAGATATAGGCCTCACCCAATCTACAGCACTAAGTTCGGTCTTCGACTCTCTTTTTTTTCTACCTATGCTGATAGCCTTGAGAGGCTATGTCAGCGTTGCCCTAGCGTGTAGGTGAGCTCTCGGGGCTCAAACCGGAGGGGGAAGCGACTCTCAACGTCCACCCCTTGTCGGTTGTTCCAAGTAAGAATAAGCTTAACAATCAATAATTGCACGGATTTTTTTTTATTGCCCTTGTAGGCAGACGAGCATACGGCCCACCTGATGGCGAGTGGTTACCGTCGCCCATGGACTTCAGCAATGCCAGGGGCAAACCCAAGCCACTGCCTACCGTTTAATACTCTCCACAAGCCTCGTTTGAAGAAGGACATGTCATAGCGCTCGGGAAACACCGTGGAGGGGAGCTCATTCCATAGCCAGATGGTACGTGGCAAAAAAGACCTCTGGAAACGCACTGTGGATGACCGGAGTGGCTCCAGGTAGTATGGATGAACTCTGCTCCGGTGGCGGGCGGTGCGATGATAAAAACGAGATGAATTTGTCGGAAAATATATCGTAATCGTGTAACTTACGGTGCTGCCAATCCGCCCGGGGCTCTTCGTAGTCGCTATCGGCCAAATAGTTCGTGCAGACCGGTTCCTTTGGGAAGCCAACTCTTGACAAAATCGTGGCTTCCTCCTCTGCAACACATTGGTGTGTTAAAGTATGAGTTTTAGCTGTGTGGTGGCCTTTTTTTATTACTTAGACGGGTGGACGAGCTCACAGCCCACCTGATGTTAAGTGGTTACTGGAGCCCATAGACATCTACAACGTAAATGCGCCACCCACCTTGAGATATAAGTTCTAAGGTCTCAAGTATAGTTACAACGGCTGCCCTACCCTTCAAACCGAAACGCATTACTGCTTCACGGCAGAAATAGGCATAGAGGTGGTACCTACCCGCGCGGACTTACAAGAGGTCCTACCACTAGTAAAGAATTATACTGTTCTATTTCCTCTCGTCGGCATCATAAATGCGATTAAGTAATCTAATGTCGAACGAAAGCATTTGTTTTTTCTGTATTGTTAATAGCTAGCTGCATTGAAAAATTGTTTAACGTGATACTTTAAGGGTAGGATAAATTATTACGTCTCATGACTATTTCGATAGTTGTTTCGAAAGTAAAGCAGCCGTTAGATAATAAATTTGAGACTTCGACCTCAAGCCTCACGGTGGGTGGTGAGTGCGCTCCGAAAATCACTTAATAACAGGTGGGCCATGAGCACATCTATTCATGTACGGTGAAAAAAAAAACGAATTTAAATAATGCAATAGAATCAAATAATATAGCGTTAGTAATAAAATAAGTAGGTTGGTAAGTAAAAAGATTTTAGTATTTCTTTTTTGGGTTTTATTTTTGCATTTGAATATAGTGACAATAAAAAAACTCGAGAATAAATGCGTAAAAGTAGCTTGAATTACGTATACTATTCACGAAAATCGAATAAGGAACATACTGAAAAACTTTTATTTAAAAATTACCTTCTAAAGAGACGCACATCGTCCAGATACCTCCGTTCATAGGGACCAAAAAGGTCCCGATTCCTTTTCTGTTATTCGGGTCGTCGACCTAAAAAACAAGTATTACATTTATTAAACTCGCATCCGTATAGTGAAATATAAAGCTTAAAAGGTTTTTGAGTCTAAAGCTGTAAAGTTTAATTACTGTTTTTTATATTACAAAAACATATTTATTTCATGATTTTGCATATACTATATAGAGTCTATATTATAGACACATACCAATGCAATTCTTACTTAGACATCACGTAATGATGTCTATGGGTTCCGGTAACTTAGCATCAGGTGAGCCGTGAGTTAGTTAGCTCTACTATGCAATTAAAAAAATTGTAATCTACATTTATGTCACACCGATCCATGTTAGACTGTTATTGTATTATTTAAAAATTATTAAAATGTCAATGATCCTTGCTACGTTTGAATTTTTTTCCAACTAAAGCCTTTAGTTGGTAAAAATTATGTTGAAAGATACACATATACAGGTATACAAAGATAAATAGGTATACATAGATAAAATCACGTTACCTCAAACACTAATTTAATTATTTATTATTTATTTATTGCTTAGGTGGGTGGACGAGCTCACGGCCCACCTGGTGTTAAGTGGTTATCAGAGCCCATAGAAATCTACAATGTAAATGCCGCCACCTAACTTGAGATATAAGTTCTAAAGTCTCAGTATAGTAACAACTGCTGCCTCACCCTTCTAACCGAAACGCATTACTGCTTCACGACATAAATAGGCAGGGTAGTAATACCTACCCGTGCGGATTCACCAGAGGTCCTACCAACAGTAAAATTATAAGGGATACTACCGAGCACGGGTTATATTTATTCGACATAAATAATGGAATATTTATTTTAATGCACACGAATAAATAAAAATCATAATAAACATACGATTTGTCAAAGCTTAAGTAATATTGACAACATTTATAGTTCAATTATAGCTCAAGGAAAAACTGTTATATCACACTAAAGTCACAACGGTAATAATAATTCCAATGAGTCGTACCCTTCGCGTGCGGAACCAAGGTGCAGCGAAGCCAAGGCTGATAAGACTGTTTTGAATTTACGCCGAAGTTACAGCCTTGACCGGAACATTTCCATAGATCGTGTAACCTTAGGAACATCTGCACTTTTCCGCAATGCCTATATATGTACGAAGGCATATCTATGTATATAGATATCTATGAATGTATAGACAGCGACTTGGCTCTGCCCTTGTCATTGCTGAGGACCATCGGCGACGGTAACCACTCACCATCAGGTGGGCCGTATGTTCATCTGCCTATACGGGCAAACAAAAAATAATAATAAAAAATGTATAAGGATGTTACCATCTACCACTAGACTTACATTTTTGTTTTGAATCATATATATAAGAAATTATTTTTGGAAAAGAGTTAAAAAAAGAAAAATATATCGACTGGTGATTATCTACTTTTGCTTGGGTTTTTGCTTACTTTTCTTCAATGTACAGACATTACGGAATCTAAAGTTTTACTATAAGTTTCGATTAGGGTCTTAAGAAATTCTAAATTAACTACAGTAAGGTTACTCAGTCTACTAACTCAATTTAGACACGTTGAATCTAATATCCTACCAAGTTTACTTGGCTCTCTTAAATGTCAAAGTTTCTTTGAAATACAGTGGAAAATTTAAAGTCACGTACCTTTGTACTTTATTTTACAGACTTAGATTAGGTTATAGATTTAATTCCAATGCGACTTAAGGAATAAAACGTGAATCGTTTACCGAATGCAGTTTTATTTGAGTTATTTTAGCGAGAATCGATTTTGACTCTTTTGGTAAGGCTTTTGCGTTGTGCAATAGTAAGTTTCCATGGTACATTTGGGAGAAAAAGTGCTGTTTTATGTCTTTGTTATGTAAAATTTTAGTATGCTATATAAAACTTGCGATTGCTGTAATAATCATCTTTGTAAATATTCATAAACATATCTAAGCGTTTTATATCGTTTATTTTCTCTTACTTCTCTCGAACGCTCAAAGTGAGCTTTAGTCAATTCGAGTATTATTTGTATGTTTAGTGTAATGCAAGGGTTTCCAAACTTATTTTGTCTGCCCACTTTGAGTATAAATTATTTTTTAGCGCCCCCATTTTTTCACCTACTCAAAAACCACTATAGCGAGAGCTTAGTTGGTGTCTAAGAGTCCTCCTAGATAAAATTAAAAATCGCCTTCCAAACCTCTACACAACGCCCCCATTTTTTTCCTCGGTCTTACCGCCCCTTTTAGGCCTGCAGCCTCCACAAAGGGGCGTTATCGCCCACTTTGTGAAACGCTGGTGTAATGCAACTAACGCAAATGTAATGATTAAGACTAACCAATTTACCAATTCCCCATTTGATAGATTAACATTCGTAATTAGTCTGAGTGGCTTGGCTATCAATTTGCTGATGTTATAAGTATTTAAACATTTAAAATTACACTAAGTATAGTATGAACACCGGATTACCTTGCGGCTTTGTCGGTGCTTATTAGCGGACTCATCATCAGGTGTCATTTACTGGTATTCCTTCGGGCAATAAAATTTGTAAAAACCTTTATATATTTATAAAGTATTTACACGCTTTTAAGTCGACTTTGTTATATTTTCTTCGGCGTATACGAATTTAGATATTCTAAGGTTTGGATGTACATATATATAAATTTCGACTCTTCGCTTTTAATCACAGATAGTCCCAATAGTCTTCAAGTAGAATAACTATGAAAATGAGAACAGATGGATAGTCGTTTTTTTTTTTAAATATTAATTTCGAGCATCTTAATGAGTTTTCATCGTCATTATTATGACATAATCATCATGTCTCGTCTCGGTCAGAGTTAGCAGCTGTTGTTAACATTTCTGCAATAGCATCAAAAATGTAAGAGATTGAGGGCGGAGATTGATTGTGGGCGGATAATATATAAAATAAATGATAAATAAGTAGGTATTAAAAAAAGTACAAAAAAATATCTATTTATAGTCCATCTGTTATTAGAAGCGTTATTAGAATCCACGACCGCATTGTCCTCAGTTTAGTCTAGTCCCCTAGTTTTCAGTTATAACGTAGAGGCGTCCAATTCCCTTGAGAGGTTCTCAAAACGGATTACCTAATCAGTCTGTTTGTGGCGCGCGTCTGCGTATCCATTTACCGGACATTTTCCCTTTGAACAAGACGTCGCTATGCGATTCGTTGATACGATTATTGATAAAATGTTAATACATTTTATAGACGACTAGCTGACCCGGCAAACTTCGTAGTGCCTCAATTGATAAGTAAAAGACCTAAACCTTTGTATAAAATAAACTTAAAACAAACAAAAAGAATCCGCCCGAGGGGTACACATCAAACGAAAAACAAAATTGTTATTTTTATTTACTTCCGAGAATTTTCATATTTATCTACCTTTTAAACCTTCTTTGGACAAATAATTCAAGATCAAAATTAGCCAAATCTGTCCCACCATTCCCGAGTTTTAGCGAGACTAACGAACAGCAATTCATTTATATATATATCTATATATACGAATGTATTGAATAAACTATTATATTATATGTTCTTTTAACAGAATAAAAGGATAACGGAATAGAAAAACGAGCAAATAAATTATGTATGTAATCTCAATCCGATGACAGATGGCGATATGAAAAACTGCTTGAATTTCCAGGCTGTGAGTGAAAAACCCTTCTCAAACAGTGACAGAAAACGTCTGTTTCTTATTCTAAGCTAGAATTACGTTTATTCTACGTCATTGACATCCGAGAGAAACGTATTGATTGTTTACTTTACGGTCTACTTGATGTTAAGTGGTCACCTAAGCCCGTAGAGATGGATGGATGTGTATACCCACATTGGAACATAAGGTCGAAGCCTCAATTGAATTGTATAATGACTGTCTTATACCTCGAATCGGAACGCGTGAATGCTTCGTGCCTATCTGTACGGGCTTAAAAAGTCACAAGAAATCTATATATAAGTATATAAAAATGAATTGCTGTTCGTTAGTCTCGCTAAAATTCGAGAAAAGCTGGACAGATTTGGCTAATTTTGGTCTTGAATTATTTGTGGAAGTCCAGAGAATGTTTAAAAGGTAAAACAATTTGAATATGCTCGGAATTAAATAAAAATAACAATTTTGTTTTTCCTTTAATTTGTCCCCCGTCGGCCGGATTCCTTTTGTTTGTTTTAAGTTTATTTTATACAAAAGTTTAGGTCTTTTATTTATCGATTGATGCACTACGAAGTCTGCCGGGTCAACCAGTTTAAGATAAAATGTTTAATTTCATTTAATTCATAGACGACTGAGCATGGAAACGGTAAAGTATCGGAAACTTCGGAAATAATCTAATGAAAATAATAAACGCGCGGTTAAATCGTAAATTTAACGGTAGGCAGCGGCTTCGCTCTGACCACTCATCATCAGGTGGCCTACACGAAAAATAAATAAAATTGTAAACTATTTATGTCTACGGCTCGACGATAGTCCCAAGAAAATACTAAGTTTTTCCACTTTCAAACATATTGCCTGGTGCAAGTTCAAAATGATCTGAAAAATTTAACTAGGTTTTCAATTCACCTACTGATATTACTAGTACTGGAAGTGGGAGCTCAAATGAGGCTGGTGGTATTCACTGTAAATAAATGTACTGAAATTTATCATGTCAAGATGGAGAGGCACAATTCTATTACAATTTTCTATTAACGTACATGATTTCCTTAGAGAGTGGGTCTTAAAGATATGGGAGTGACACGAGTGTGGAATAATTTGTATATTCTTTACAAGGCCAAGGCCCCGTATTGTTTCAATTGTATAATATTAATAGGTGATTTGTAAAAAAGCAATAATGTGCTTCGGTTTGAAGGGTGTGGCAGCTGTTGTAACTATACTAAGACCTTAGAACTTATATCTCAAGGTCTTCTTCTCAGTCGGACACTCTTGTCAGAGTGGTCGTGGTTGCGTTGACGCTGTATGTGCAGTAGGATCTGTTAGGTCGCCCATGCTCCCGACAACCGCCCTCCAGGCAATGCGCTTCCAGGTCTG